ATTTTTTTTAAGATGAATTCTTTTGCCTCATTTGTTGGCACGTCTATTTGCAATCAAATTTTAGAGTGTACGCAAGCTGAATACTGTGTGATATTTGATCAAGATAGAAGCCCTCTAGTTGATTATTACTTGTCTATCGACATGCTAATTTTGATAATTATGCAGTAATTTGGATATTCGCTAGTTGGGCAATCCCTTACTAGACGAAGTGTCGACCTAATAAAAGACACGGGTAGTTGATAGATGCATCCTACGACCAGTTCATCGGGCAATCTATGGGGGATGGCCTATGTTCAGCAATGGAAATGGGATGGCCAGTAGTGATAGTGACCTGGCACGCAAAAATACTAAATTTTTGAAATCGACTATGAATGATAATTTCTTATGCTATTTTTAAAAACAGAATGTCAGGCGTTGTTGAACGTGATAGACGTTATTGATTATTGTTGTTATTTCCTGTTTACACAAATAGTACGTTGTAAGCTCTTTAGTTTTTCAATTAATATTCATCTTATTGGTTATAGTGCGAGCTGGCCACGTCTCACGGAGGTAAATTTGAAATGTTCGATCAGAATTTTTGTCCTGCTGTCGGTGATTTCATTTTTTTTTGAAAATATTTATCAAGTTTGTTCGTTGGTTCAAATTCAAATTCACGGCCTAATTAACTAAAAAAACAAACTTGCCAACCTATTTTAGTATCGTGTTAATATTAATTTATTAACAAATACGATTATAGTGACATCTACACTAACTTCATTGGGCCACTATCTAATATCACTGGGTCTTAGTGCAAAAGTCTATATGCGTCCTACTACGGGAAAGGGCTTCCCTTCACTTCTGAGAGTTTTATTGAGGAACTAATCAGTCGCCCTGCTCCAGTACGTGTTAGTAGACTTCACAAACATGTTCTCGAAATATTTTATTTCTCTAACGGTGGTAGAGCCTTGCAGCAGCTTTTGCTGTTGCACGTATGGGCCGGCTCGAGCCGGGTTAGTACCACGACCTCACAGAATACCGGCGTGAAGTGGAAGCTCTGCTTCCGCGTTTCGTCTGGTGAGTGCAGGTGACCGGATGCCCAATTCCCCCCCCCCCCCCCCCATCAACATGGTAGCGGAATTACGTCAAAAACTACCCCAGGAGGGTACCAGTACCCCTGGAGAATCCCTCGCTGAGCATCCACGACCATGCTATTCCACTCCTGAACGTGGGTGCTCAGGCTGCCCCGCGTATTCTGGGGGGGGCAAAATTCCGCTCAACACAATAACTGCTCGGGGCAAACTGAGCAACAAGACCAAGGCGACCCCTGCCACGCTATCCGTGAATTTCTGCAACATCAGGGGACTTCACTCGAACCTAAACGCCGTCCACTACCATCTTGAGACGGCGAAGCCGGCCTTGCTCTTTCTGACCGAGACGCAGGTGTCCTCTCCGGCTGATACTTCGTATCTCTCCTACCCGGGGTACAAATTGGAGCACTCCTTTGTGCCTCGGGCTGGAGTTTGCGTGTATGTCAGAGAGGACATCTGTTCTCGACGCCTCGGCAGTCTTGAAGGTTCGGACCTGTCCATCCTTTGGCTACGCGTAGACAGCGACGACCATCCGCGCGTCTACGTGTGCCTCTATAGGTCCCATAGCGGTAATGCCGAAACAGACCGACTCATCGACCACGTCCAAATGGCTACAGATTCCTTGCTACAACAGGTCCCATCCGCAGAGATCGTGATCCTTGGCGATTTTAACGCCCACCACGCCGAATGGCTCGGTTCACGTTTAACCGATCATGCGGGGAGATCTGTTTATGACTTTGCCTTGGCATATGGTCTGACACAACTGGTTACATCGCCTACGCGGATTCCAGATGTTGAGGATCATACACCTTCCCTGTTGGACCTTCTGCTGACCTCTCATCCGGACGGATATCAGGTTTCCGTCGATGCCCCTCTTGGCTCTTCGGACCATTGTCTGATCCGGAGTGTGGTGCCACTCACGCTCCCCTCGCGGTTGCGTTCCGCAGGTTGCCGCCGTGTTTGGCATTACAGGTCGGCGGATTGGGACGGAATGCGGTCTTTCTTTGCTTCCTACCCATGGGGGCGGGTTTGCTTCTCGCCGGATGATCCCAGCGCTGTTGCTGACTCTGTCACTGATGTAGTGCTACAGGGAATGGAACTATTTATTCCATCATCTGTGGTACCCATCGGAGGCAGATCTCAGCCTTGGTTTGGTCGCTCCTGTAAGACTGCATTACGCAGTAAGCAGGAGTGTTATCAAGCCTGGGCTGCGGCTTCGGTGTCTCGGGATGTAAACACCAGCACACTCAAAAAGAAGTATAACTTCGCCTCCAGGTCCTTTAAAAGAGTTATTGCCAAGGCAAAGTCAGAGCACATAGGCAGAATTGGCGAGAAACTAGTTCGCCTTCCTTCGGGAACCCGTGCATTCTGGTCTCTCGCCAAGGCTGTCCAAGGGAATTTCTGTAAGCCATCACTACCATCTCTGCACAGGGAGGACGACTCACTGGCCCACGACGCAAAAGAGAAGGCCGACCTTTTAGGCTCCCTTGTTGCGTCCAACTCGACTGTTGATGACGGGGGGAACACACCGCCGACCATCTCGCGGTGTGAGTGCTCCATGCCGGATGTGCGATTCTCACAGCGCTCGGTTCGCAGAGCACTCCTCTCCCTTGACATCCACAAGTCGAGTGGGCCTGACGGAATCCCCCCAATTGTGCTGAGGACGTGTGCTCCGGAGTTGGCACCGGTTCTAACGCGTCTTTTCCGGTACTCTTACTCCCTAGGCGTAGTCCCGAAATCATGGAAGACAGCTTTTGTCCACCCGATCCCTAAAAAAGGCGACCGCTCAGATCCGTCCAACTACAGGCCTATCGCCATCACCCCCTTGTTCTCCAAAATAATGGAATCCGTTGTAAACTGCCACCTCATGCGGTACCTTGAGGATCACCAGCTGATTAGTGACCGCCAGTACGGTTTTCGTCGGGGTCGATCAGCTGGTGATCTTCTGGTCTACTTAACACATAGATGGGCGTTGGCAGTAGAGTCCAAGGGGGAGGCATTGGCCGTTAGTTTGGACATTGCGAAGGCCTTCGATCGGGTTTGGCACAAAGCGCTTCTTTCGAAGCTCCCTTCCTATGGGCTTCCCGAGAAATTATGCAATTGGATCACCAGCTTTCTTGCAGATCGGAGCATCAAGGTCGTTGTAGACGGTGCATGCTCCGACTACAAGCCTATTAACGCTGGTGTTCCACAAGGCTGCGTGCTATCACCAACGCTGTTTCTTCTGCATATCAATGATATGTTGCAAGCTGGTAGCATTCATTGCTATGCAGATGACAGCACTGGTGATGCTCTATACACCGGCCGTGCCAATATTTCTCGGGAAAACGTCACCGAGTACCGGAACAAACTTGTGTCTGAAGTCGAGTCTTTGCTGGACAAAGTCTCGGATTGGGGGCGACTAAATCTAGTCCAGTTTAATCCTCAGAAGACACAAGTTTGCGCGTTTACCGCTAAAAAGAACCCCTTTGTCGTATCTCCTCAGTTTCAAGGTACTCCCCTTGTCGCCTCAGCCAGTATCGGAATCCTCGGCGTCGACATATCGAGTAGCGTGCAGTTTCGTGGTCACTTGGAAGAGAAGGCCAAATTGGCCTCTAAAAAGCTTGGCGTGCTCAGCAGAGCGGGACAGTATTTCATGCCGGCTCAACGCCTGCAACTTTACAAGGCGCAGGTTCGGCCTCAACATGGAATACTGTTCCCATCTCTGGGCTGGGGCTCCCCAGTGCCAGCTTCTTCCACTTGACCGCATCCAGCGCAGAGCGGCTCGAATCGTCAACGACCGAGTCCTTTCCGATCGGCTCGACTCATTGGCACTGCGAAGAGATGTTGCATCTCTTAGCATTTTCTTTCGCATTTACCATGGGGAGTGCTCTGAGGAATTGTTCGGATTAATCCCAGCCGCCAAATTTCACGAACGCACATCGCGGCAGAACTCCCGATACCATCCACACCATCTGGATGATTGGCGGTCCACCACTGTGCGATTTAGAAGATGTTTTCTTCCTCGCACAACTTCCTTGTGGAATAGTTTACCACCAGCGATTTTTCCGGACCGATATGACTTAGGGACCTTCAAGAAAAGAGCCTACTCCTTTTTAAAAGGCCGGCAACGCATCTGCAATTCCCCTGGTGTTGCGGTTGTTCATGGGCGGCGGTAGTCACTTACCATCAGGTGAGCCGCATGCTCGTTTGCCCCCTCTCCTATAAAAAAAAAAAAATGCAGGTTTCCTCACGATGTTGTCTTTCACCGCCGAGCACGTTGAAATCAAAAACTGCAATTAACAATTTCTTTGGTGCCGGCTACCGGCGGGGTGGAACCCAAGTAGCACTTGAGCTATCACGATTCACTAATGTCAGGCGTAGTATTAGTATTTATGTGCGATTTATGTTTGTCAATTGCCCCTACGATACAGGAGAAAATCCTAGTGAGTACCGCGTCTCGTTTAAAAAATAAATACCGTTACCGTTACAGTCTATTAAAGTCCACTGGTGAACATAGGCCTCCCCCATAGATAGCCTCATAGGGGGGATATTTGCCATAGCTGCCATGCTTGGCAATCGCAGTTTTTTTATATTTTTAGTCGTTATTAGGAAGATACTGCTGCTCATTTTCTGATTTGTTTCCCTCTGTCGCCTCTTAAGACACGCACAGCATGATATGGAATAGTGGATATTCTTACACAACTATTAACACGGTAAAAAATAAAAATAAATTATTGTATTAATGATCCTAATTATTATTTATTACATCAGAAGCCGTATTTAATGTTATATGTAATGTAATATAATTATTGCATTATGTTTAAAATTTCTTTGGACACTGTTAGAAAATGTTCCATCTGCCTAAAAGTATAAAATTCCGTTTGATATAAAAGATACAACGGTAATGATCCAGGTCAAGTTTGTTTATATTTTGGTTTAAAGAAAACTTACCCAAAGATGCTGCTAAATATTGGCGCCATTTTTGTTTCAGTTCTGCTTTAAAGACTTCTAACATTATTAGCTAGTTAAGCAAACACGTTAAAAATAAATTAATATAGTTTTTTTTAACTTTAAACTACATATACATTTCTTTAAATGTTTCATACAAAATAAACACAATAAACGAAATCGACACCTAGCTGAGCACTATGCACTATGCGTGTGCTTTGTCAGCCATAACATTTAATTCTGTACTAAATTATTTGTTTTACCGCGAAAGACAACCAGTTTCCCTTCACAACCTTTTTTTATTGTAAATAGGTAATTGATTAAAGATATAAGTGATTACCAGAAAAAAATAATTGCCAATCAATGAAATGGTACTTTGGAAGATTGTAGATTACCTAAATGTATTTGAGCTAATACAAACTTGTACAGTTTAATTTAGTTCGTCATGATTAAAAAGATACGTTTCTTGTGTTCTAACGTTTAGGTCATTAAATTATTTGGTTTAATTCTTAATCTAGTTTCTCTAAAACTTGACAAAGATTTTACGAAAACACATACGTGTATATCTCCGAAATCTTAGAACACTGCGTCATAAGCAGCGGAAGGTCACAGTATATGTATGTACATGCCGATGCCGAGCATAGTTAAATAATTATGTGTTTAGTAAAAATTGAAAAGATACATAGATAGAAAATTCTTCAAAATTCAAAAAAATTACAAAAAGCTACCAAACAAGTACAAAGACGAACTTAATTCAAAAAAGGTATTCTCTGCCAGCTAATCGTTGGTAGTATGGTGAGAGCTATGGGAAGAGCCGCAACGGAATAAAAATTGCTTATTTACACATATAATTTAAAACGTATTATATAATATAAATATTTTAGTTTATACATATATAAAATTATAAAAAAAAAACAATAAAATGCATACTATACCAATAAAATAGGATTTAAATGCGTTATAAATATAGATATATCGTCATGTTTTGCTTATGTACTGGGTTAAGGCCTTAATTAATTTCTAAATTTTTTTCCTTCCGACATCGCGTGACTTCGATGATGTTCTACCTTATTAAAAGTAATTGTGACATGCAAAAAATTGGACTGAGTAATCACGAAATCTTTAAGACTATAGTTACTACTACCACCATACAATAGGTGGTCAAAAGGATGTTGACAGACAAAGAGAAGAAGGATCATAGAAGATAGTAGGTTAGTTGGGAAAACTACAAAAATAGGAAAGAGTAGGGATTAGTAAAATATATATCTGACTCCAAAAATACAAAAACGAGTACGAAAATAAACGGCAAGAATGTATTCGAAAACACCGTGAAAAGAAAAGGAACTCAGAGAAACTGACAGTAGACTTACAAATGAAACACCGTCTTTATAACCAGGCGCCCCAGACGGCATGGGAAGATACGTCAAGAGAACAGGAGATGCTCAAGTAGTAGTTGGGCGATACGTCTCTGATTGCGAATCATTAATTACGTGTTTGCAAGGGACCTGCATTTTATACGTGGTAGAGTCATGCTGCAGCTATGTTAGTAGTATAGTTGTAGCACGAATGGATCGGCTCGATCGGGGAAGGACCACGCTCTCACAGAATACCAGCGTAAAACATCAGCTTAACACTGCTGTGTTTCGTATGGTGGGTGTAGAGAACCGACTAAAATCTATTTTTTCCTGGATTCCTTATTATTTTCAAGGTTCACCTAATGTAACAGAGCTTAAACGCCTGGATTATTCCTTGGTCCATAGTTTAAAGCGAAGCTGTCGTGTTGGGAGGTAAAAAATTCACTTTTATGTTTGGATGCATAGTTTCAAGTTCGCCAGGATGACCTGGTGCATTGTCCAAAACTAGCAATGCTTTAAAAAAAAATTCTTTTTTTAAAACAGTCTCAACTTCAGAAACAAAAAATTCCGGAACCAGTTACAAAAAATGGCGCTTGTAACCACGCTTTTTCAAAACACTGGTTAGGTCGTCTTGTTTTGATTTTTTAAAGCACGAGGATTTAACGATCTGTAAAGCATCAGTGGTTTAATGACACAATGTCCAGATGCATTAGAACATATCAGCAGTGTAACTCTATCCTTTGCTGCTTTAAATCCAGGAGCAGACTTTTCGCTTTTAGAAATAAATATTTTCTTTGGTATTCTCATCAAAACAGTCCAGTTTCGTCTGCATCAAATACTTGTTCAGGTTGTATCCTCCATCAGCTACTAGGTTTGGAAATTCTTCAATTGATTGCAATGATTGTCTCACCTTAAATTTATTGAACTAACCTTCCGATGCTTGAAACCCTCCATCGGTACATTCACCACCACAACTACCACCAGGTTCTTTAAAATGTGCGTAAAGACACGTTGCCGTCTCCCGGACCACTTGACCACTCAGGGCACCCTTTTTTGATTGCGGTCTTCGATTCATAATGACAACGCGACTTCCATTTTTTCTATTGCTGGATCACGAACAATTTTGCCTGACAGTGAAGTTGAAGCTACGGACGACCTTATTTTAACGTCGGATTTTTTATTGATCGTACGGTTGATTCGTTGACATTGAATGAGCGTGATATGGATGCAAACGACTCTCCAAGGCGTAAACGATCATTTCCATTTTCACTTTAAGCTAACAAAGATTTTTTTTCGCGTCAAAACTTGTTTTTTTAATTTATTTAGTCGACATTATAAATTAGGAAGTAAGACAGCGGTAGAGAGGTGTTACTCGATCACAGTTTTTTGAAACGAATGGAAAAATTAAACAATAAAACACGCAAAGCGGCTCTTAAAAGGGTGGAACGTGTAATATGTAGCAGCATTTAAAAAAATACTTTATACATTAAGTAATAAGGTTGCTTTCATTCTGTATGTTTACATTCTCAAAAACACCGAACGCGGCGAAGGCGGCTTATGTCAAAAGACGAACCAATACAGTGCTCTAGGTATAGTTGTAATAAGGTCTACATATTTTAGTTTTTTATTAGTCCATTTGACGACGCATTTACAAAGGATATTGGGTTGGATACCTATTGGAATGTTTTTTATTAATATGTATATACCAATGTACCGATTAGATCCGCGAATAAAGAAATCTTTAGCCGCGAATATAGGAATTGGGTCGCATTTTTTTAATCTGCAAACATTGAAAACGCGAATGAAGGAAGCGCAAATAAGGAGCTTTTACTGTATATTCAAATATCGATTGCTTCAGAAATATTAAAAAGGTTGTGGGCTTAGAATAATAACACCTAGAACGATAGTTCCCTACAAAGCGGACGTTCAAAAGTGGGGCACGAACAAAATCTATGTGTGCGTTATCAACTTCTGTTTACGCTAGACGAAACACACACAAGTGAAGAAATAATGTGGCCAATACATTAAATTTTCCCGAAAAGTAGGGAAGTTGAAACTATATTGGACTAATAGTTACAACGTAACGTATGACTCACACAAAAGTGAAAATAAGTTTGTTTGAATTCTATTATCGAAGTTTAGCCCGCTAAATTCAAAATATTTTTGAATAGGATATTTGCCTATCTAGCCAAGTGAGATACTTTTATGAACCATATAAATGTGATTGCATCATATTTTTCTTTGTAACTGTATAGAGACGTTATAATTATTTGACTAATGCAAGTTCGATATACACCCGCCCGATGCCTGACATATGACTGTTCGACGAACGATTGACCGTATTCAGTATCTATTATTCAGTTTGTTTTCAACAAATTTTTTTAATAATCGTCGAGTAATGGTGTACCGCACCTCACTGCATGCATAATGTAAGCTACAATACGAAAAACACAAGAAAATTTTAATTTTGGTAGGTTTTACACAGTCCTCACGGATGACAACGCATCTCTTTATTGAGGATAGTTGTAGATGTATATGGATCACAGCATCCACTTACCATTAGGTGGACCGTGTGTTCGTATGTCACCGTATCCTATAAAAATGTAAAGAACAAATTTTTGTATCTTAGTGGGCTTCCAACTGCTTTCATTTCGATTGTGTCTGATGTTTTCTGTCTCACAAGCCGCTATGATCGGATCAGAAAGAAACATAAAACGAAAACCAAACATGCATTTTGTTACGGCGTGCAGCTGCCCATCCAAGAGTAGGATCTTCCCGGCCCATGAAGGAAGATCCCACAAGCAGATGCAGGTCGGGCTTCCTAAAGCCAAAGTGGAAAATCTCTAATTACAATAAACAATAAGAGGGAGCATTCTATCCTACTGCCATTCAACAGGGAGAATATTAAAACCGAGCTTACTTACCTATATCCAAGGCGACTGGTCCCTCAGGGTTCGGTCAGGTCGCATGTGGTTGTACGGTGCATGGGAAGTAAGGGTCAGTGATGTGAATCTGTGTGTGACTGAGTGTGGTAGACCTTATGAGACCGTTGCCGTCGGCAGCAGCTCGGACTTCAGCACCACTCCAAATTGTGGTAATCTTCCGCGGAGTCGTCCACAGTCACTTTCTTCGTTCGTCACGAGGACAGTCCTTAACTTGATCGTACAATTAACTAACTCTAATTTGTTATAAAGCGTAACACCCAACACAAATACAGAATGTCGGTCTATACGAAATCCCGCTACTATCAGCAAAAACGTAACACACCGCACGAACACGAATGTCCGGATCAAAGTTCACTACCGTTTCGCGTGGCAACAATTCTTTCTAGAATATCAAATGCCACAGTAGTAGCTAATATTGTCAAATACCCTTATACAGATTCTGAGTTAGACACAAGAAGTCCCGGGAAAAGCTCTCAAACAAGGAATGCGCGATACGAATGCTAGATAGTATATTTACTAGACACGCCTAAACTATTCCACGTTCCCGCACAAAAAAATGACAGCGTGCTGTCCCAAGCACAGCTGGCAAACGACTCCTGCGCTCGCGCGCCCTCGCCATACCGCTCGACCGAACGTCAAAACCGGTCTGGCGCCAAGCCGAGCGCCCCCTGGCGTCAAATTCCGAAACCAGCGTTCGGGCGTGAACACATTTATTATTAGACCATGTAAAAAGTTTCCTTAAAATTCATCATTCATATTTTTTAATT